GCCCGAAGAACGTGCAAATGGCGGAAAAAGCTCTCGTCGGTGACGCCGAGTGGCATACGGCCGGACGCGTACAGATCCACTTCAATGGTCATACAGTGACAGTCGATGTGGAGCTGAAGGTTGTCGGTCCGCAGTTGACGACAAGTGACCACTAAATCGCCGCCGATATCGTCGCCCACCGATAGGCGGCGCCGTCGCGTGCGCTGCGTCTCCAGAGCGGCCACTTTGGCCCGAAGAGTGTCCAAATACAGCCGCATATTCGTCGCCTCCGACCGCATGTGCTCTAAGCGCGACCTCTGGTACGTCTTCAGCGCTGTTTATGGGACGGCAAATGATAATAGGATTATATTATGGCTATAACTCATGGGATCAGCTATTGGTGATCGCTATGACACACATACCGTCCACGTAATCAGACTCTCGCAGACCATTCATGATATGAGTGTTTGGATCAGCTGTCAGTGATAGAGAGGGGATGTGTTGTCTTCTGAGATGTCTTAAGAGTGGTAGCAGTGGTGGTAAATGTTGGCCATCGGGAGTGCTCTTCAGGTTTGCGATGCGTTAAGTCATTACAGCTTTGGATCAGATGACGGGTTGAGACACACACTATGCGATCACTATATATATGCGATGACCAGATCTGTTGCAGTGATGTTTATGTCTTCAGTTATCACTGGAGTTGTTGTCATCTGTTTTTGTTGTGGTGTTTGTCGTTATATAACGTTATGTTTTCATTCAATACATCAATACATAGCGTGAGGGCTCATTCTTATATGCTATAACACACACCCATTACATGGGGTATAAATATTGAGGGGTTAGTAAACTATAGTGTAAAGCAATGTATGTGTTGGGGGCGAAGGGGTGCTATATAGCGATGTTATTTCGTAACAGACTATTTGACGGATACTTTCATTTAAATGCCAAACAAAATGTATCCGTAAATTACGTACTTTTAAGTGTTTTTTAATACTCTATGAATACTATAGGGATATTAATACAAGGGGTCTAAAAATGTGTATTATAATTGTCACATACTCTATGGACATAGTTTTGCAAAGAAAATATTTGTGTGGCAAAACCCAATCAGAAGTGAGCGCCACATAAGGGCGTAACTCAATGGCAGATATTTGGTACTATTATATTCTATAATACATAGCAATAGTATCTATACTTCATATAACAACAAAAAGGTCCAAATTATTTGTATAATACTTACGACACATACCAATCATATATTTGCTCAGGAATGTTTCTGATGGAATGTGTGCACCGCACAAAACAACTGTTACCAAATAAATAGGGGTAGAGTGGACTTTAATAGTAACAATATAAACGTGTAAACTTACATAACTTGAACATTATCAATTAAGTTACGCCAATAATAACGTAACATGGTGATTTGGTTAGAGTTAAAATTATCTCAAAAATTGAACGAGCTAATAATTACGACCCTGATTACTTTTGATTGCAATAATACATAGCTGGCATTTGAATGGCATGTTTGTTGGGTACCAATGATTATATCTCGTACGTAGTCTGCGTGCGGCTCCGCGTGACTAATGTAGTGCATTGGCAGCGCTGTAAACACACAGACAATACACTCGTCAGTACAGTATGTGTAGTGTTTTGTGTGATTAAAGTTGAGTTTCACAATCAATGTCTTGTATATTACGCTCGCGAGGAATATGACAACCCATGGCATGATGTCTGCCAACACATCACCGCTGGAAGTGCTGTCCAACGCGGCCGCACTCATCGAGAAGTCAACCATTTGTGGTATTTATACATATATTATATTCATATTCATTGTAGTCATTCATTATCATTATTATCAACCAATTTGATTGCAAGATCTCTCTCTCTCTCTCTCTCTCTCTCT